TGAGTTTTCCCCCCCCCCAAAAAAAAAAATGAAATGGCAAAAGACAAGAGGATAACGCTCCAAAGGCTGACATCCTGGAATTACTTGAAGGAACCTTTTTGTTTGTGTCTTGTTTGGAGACCCCAATTAGAAAAGGATCCTTGGAAATTACAAGGATATTGCTTATTTCTTTTCATTCTGAGAAAAAAAATATATCCAACATTTAAAAGTCGGGATACGGACAATGCATTTGATATGCCTCAAGGAATGCTCACAGATTTCTTGATATGCCTCATGGAATGCTCACAGAGAAAACACTTCATCCTTTCCCGATTAGGGCTTTTTCAAGGTTTTCTTGCAGCAGAGTTAGTGCCTCATTAACTTGTCTGGGACAGTTTGTCCTTTGAAATAGCTGAATAGCATCTGCTTCTTACTCAAAATCAGTGGGGAGAATATATCATCTCCCAAGTGTTTTCTGCCTATTTGTCTAACAGCTTAGAAGAATAGCATTCAATGAATGGCGGATTTTATGTTAGAGTAACAAAGTTAGAAGGGACCTTGGAGGTCTTCTAGTCCAACCCTCTGCTCAAGCAGGAGACCCTACACCAACCCAGTGACTGTCCAGTCTCTTCTTAAAAGCCTCCAGTGATGGAGCACCCACAAGTTCTGAAGGCGAGCCGTTCCTCTGGTTAATTGTTCTCACTGTTAGGAAATTTCTCCTTAGTTCTAGGTTGCTTCTCTCCTTAGTTTCTATCCATTGTTTCTTATCTTGCCTTCTGCTGCTTTGGAAAATAAATTGATAGAGAGAAGCAAAGATGCCATTCTAGGGTTACACTTAGATTACATTTACCACCTCTAAGGATGTGAGTTTTATTTATGGCAAATTCTTCTTCACTTTAAAAAAAGTTTTTACTGGGATAAAAACTCTGCATGTTTTTATCTTGTAGAAGTGGATTACAAAAAAAGGTGAAGTCACCTTAGAACTGACCTTGACTCTTGATGACTTCATGGTGTGGAAAACGAAAATATTGGCATGCCTGCCAGAAGCGGCACTCAGAGCCCTCTCTGCGGGCGGCCACCAGCAGCTTGTGCAGATCCATTAGGTCGCCACCCAGAGCAGCAGTCCCACCCAGCATGAAGGAGGCAAAGTAGTCAGCTAGGAAGCCCCGCATAGAGGTGATAGAGCACGCCTATGCCCAGCAGGCAAAAGGCCACCCCAAACAGGGAAAGCTGGATCCCCATCGACGTCATGGCTGCCCAGGCCCAGCAGAGATGGGGGGGAAGCACCAATCCTGACTGGGACTGGGGGGCTATGGCACCAATGGGGATCCGGCTTTCCCTGCTCGGGGTGGCCTTTGATTTGCTGGGTGTGGGCATGCTCTACCACCTCTACTCGAGCTTGCTAGCCAGCTGCTTCACCTCCTTTGTGCTGGATGGGGCTGCCGCTCCACATGCAGAGGCGGCCTAATGGACCTGCATGAGCTGTTGGTGGTGGTGGACCGAGGCGGGGCCAAGATGCATCGGGTGCGTGAGGGGAACAGGCTCCATGCACGGGCCAAGGGCAAAATCTGCAAGGGGGCCAAGGAGATGACCAGCAGCGACCTGCTCTCCAACTACAAGCAAAAACAGATGGGACGGAATAGGCGCGTCCGATGGTCTGCATCACGTGCCTCCCCCCTTCCCTACTCCGCCTGCTGCTGGGGCCTGGCCTAGTATTGGCAGCGGGCTGCGGAGCCCCAGAGTGCATCAGTCAAGGGGCTGCTAGGCTGTGGCTGCTGACAGACACCATCAGCCCCCATGCGCTTGCTGGCCTCTCTGTGCAGGGGCCGATGGTGTCAGGCAGCAGCTTCCCTACCTTGCCTTGCTTTGCCCTGTGGCAATGGCACCCCCACCCAGCCCCCTGCCTCACCTCACCTCACCTCACCTTGCAGGGCCAGCCTTCTGCCTACCACCCACCCACCTGAGACCCCCTGGCCACTCCCCCAACCCTGCCCGGCCCCCACAGACATCCACTGCACGAGCACCCTGGCCACACCCACCCAGTCTGCTGTGACCATCATAGCCATGCCCACCCAGTTGGCCACGCCCCCCCTTCCCCTCTGAGGGCCCCACAATGCTGATGCAGCCCTGGCACTTTGTGACAAATAAGTGAGTTTTGGATTATGGTTTGGGCACTTGGTCTCTAAAAAGTTCACCATCACTGGCCTAGGTGAACTAAATCAGGCCTCATGAAAAATATTGAACAAAGTTTGTGCTATGCTCAGTTTTACAATCCGAAGGAACTATTTGTAATCTAAACTGCAACTGTATTTTACTTAATATGATTTTGCTAAGCTTGCTTTTTTCAAATATATTTAGAACAGACATGTCAAACACAAGGCCCAGGGGCTGGATGTGGCCCGTGAAGTGGTTTCATGTGGCCCATGAAGCCATCCTGGAAACAGTGAGGGAACGGTCCCCTCTGCCTTAGCCCTGGCCCAAGCTGGCCGGAGCTAATGTACAATTTTGTGGTGGCCATCTATGCTGAAACATATTCAGTCTTAGCTCCACAAGGCTGTCTGGAAACAGCGAGGAACCAGAAGCAGCCTTGAGGAAGTGGGGCTGGGCTTGGTGCCATGGGTGTTCAAGGGCCAGGCTGGGCATTTGACCTCTGCTGCCCAGGGCTCCAGGCAGCCTGCACCACTATCCAGCCCCCCCCCCCCACGCATGGCCTAAGAGGAACAGTGAGGCTCCTCCAGTGGAACATGCCTTGGCACTTGCCCCAGTCCCACCCCCTTCTGCTAGAGACCCTCAGATCTGTCCCACTCCTGCCCAGGCCCCCACAGGCACCCTTGACGTGAACGATATAGAGCTGGCCACACCCACCCAGTAGGCCACACCCACTCATCCACACCTACCCAGTAGGCCGCATCTACCCTGGCCACACCCACCCCGCCCCCTGAGGGCAACCGCAATGCTGATGCAGCCCTCAATGAAATTGAATTTGACACCCCTGATTTAGAACATAAGGACTGGAACTGTTAGAAATAGGGATGTGAAAGTAGCTGATGGATGCGGGTTCCAATGTACACAGGTATATGGAAAGTTATGTTTAGCAAAGTGTCAACAGACAGTCAGCAGAAAGTGAAAGATTGCTGACCATCTGTCTGAGGTTTTAGGACAGGAAAGGGTATAAGAGATTGGGACCGGGGCTGATTGATTTGCCACTGGCCTATATCTGTCCTTATTGGAACTGCTATGTCATTGGGCCTCATTGCAATGGGTTTTTAACTTAAGTGATGTTTATGTGTGTGTTCCAAATTACTGCTGAAATAAACCTCTAAATCTTAAAGTAAGAATTATTGTTTTGTGTTGCTGTCTCTTGTCTTTTTCATTGGGTTTTTCCACGACAATAGACATGTCCATGTAGTTTTCTTAGTAAAAGCACAGATGTAGTTTGCTATTGCCTTCTTCCATAAGGATATTCTTCAAATTTTAAAAAGCTGTATTCATACAACATGCATACTGAAATTGGGTAAGTGAAGGACAAACAAATGAATTCACACAACATACTAAGTCGGTTATTGCTAACTCTAGTTAGAGGGCATTTTTAGGATCATATTAAAGAGGGTCAGAATTTGTCATTGTCCTCAAAGGTCTAGATCTCTTTGGCTTAAATTCCAATTAAATATTGGCAGAAATGTTTTAAGAGGAAGAACAAATTGGAAATAATTGAGGGAATTCATAATTCAAACAGAGACTGATGGCTTTTACAACTTTAGATGTCATGCATCAAGCAGAGTAGCCTATACTGATAAGTACTACACCCCTAATAAGAATGTAGTCTATGGAAGTTCGAATAAAATAGCAGTGAAGCATCAATTTTAATGAGAGCTTTAAGTGGAAAGAAAATGACAACTGAAGAAGCTGGCAAAAGATGCAGATCTACACTCAGGTGAATAAAAGAAGGGAGAACATGGCAGATTGGTGGGAGAAAATCACATAAATTAAGATAGCAGCAGAAACAAATCCCTTTGCCAAGTTTATTATTGTTAAGCAGTCTAAAATATTGATTTTAAGGTTCTGGTTTTTTTAAAAAAATGTTGTTAAGTCCTCTTGAGTGTTGTACAAACAAGAAGGTGAAGCATATTTAATAATAAGCAGCTAAGAATAACTTAAAAATATAGTAGTAAGTTTGATTCATGAAGGCGGTCCAAGAAACAGATCATTTTGTCTTTGAATCCATTGGTGATCCTCTGAAAGCTCTAGCTTTGGAGATATGGCTCTGGATAAAATATGGCCAGGAGAAATAAAAAATAGAATTATTTGGGATGATTAATAACTGGACGTGACAGTGAGAACATTTCACTGATCTTCAATAAAGTTTATTTCAAGGTTCACAGAAAGTATTCTGAGATCACAAAAAATATTAAATACCAAGCTATATTAAGAAGAACCTTGATCGAATAATTTTAGAACATCTATTCAAATACTTCTGATGTGATCTATATCAAAGACATTAATTGATGTAATTAATGTTGAGAGTAATGTTTAAGTCAAAACAGATGGCAGTGGACCTGGCTGACCTTGGGGGGGGGGAGTGCTTGAATTGGAAACCATGTACAAATGCCAGCTCTGAAAGTAGGTTAGAAGTGCCAGAAAAATAACATGGACATATTGTGTGGTCACCAGGAATGGTGCTTAATTCAAGGAAGGCTTTGCCTTCTAAAGTGTCAGGGGATATAGGGGAGAATGGGAAAAATAATTATCTGGGAGCTCATAAGCTGTGGTGTCCTTGATGCGCTCTGATCTTGGTGGTTTTCTTGAAGATGTTTCATTAACAAACTAGGTAACGTCATCAGTGCTAGAAGGGAGTGGGGTTTGCTCTCTCTCTCTCTTCTTTTTTAAGCTTTAATCCAGGTCTGAACTTTGGTTGGAAGGACCATTCAGCTGCCTGCTCAGTCTGGATTACAATATATTGCAATTGATTCAAACTCAGCTTGTATTTACTCCTCTTTCTCCTCTCCCCTGTCTTTTAACAGCCTCGACAGAGAGTTCTCCATAAACACCACCAAACTCTAAAGCTGCTTTCCTGCCAGATGATATAGAAGTGAACTTTTCCATCTGAAAGAATGATAATAATAATTTTTTAAAAGAAACCTAAGAAATGGCACTGCCAGAAGAAAACAGCCACCAAGAACTGGACTCAAATCCAACTGATCTGGCTAGCACGATAAGTTCTGAATAGCCTCTGACTTGCTGATGGAATTCCCAGCGTGGCATATAACCAACAATATAACTCTTTCCACCTCATAGTTGGTGGGGTTTTTTACACCGGAAAACTGCTTCCAGTTTCATCACTGTGCATAATCTTTATATTCTCATTAGGGAACTCTCTGTGACCTTCACTAAAGGTTCTGGGGTTTGGTTTAATTTACTTTTGTTTTTAGCATGGCAAACAATGGATTATAATATATATGCAGATTGCATGATGTTTTTTAATGGGACCGATAGTTCCAATTCTGCACACCCAAATGTTCACTGGTATCCCTTTTCCCTATCCTCTCCCCCCCCCCCCGATAGAAACGTAGAAATATTTTGTGTTAGTGATACACGGAATGATATTCTGTTTTACAGTATCCACAATCCATACATGATCTCCACACAGACATTCTAACAGATTTGGTGTGTTATGGGAATGTTTCAGGTATCTGCATTGAGATTATATCTTGCGTGACTCGCCATGTGCATTGCTTCAGTAGCAAAGTTGGCTTGGTAACTCACATGGATATTGTTGTGGCTGTTTTGACTGTTCTCTTGTAGAAGTAGTAGAATGAGAGCACGTATGTTCCTTTGCTGAACCTACTCTCCAAAAATGACAAGTAAGATTATATTTCTGTTACTTTGATGCATGTTAAATAATAGAGAAGAAATTAATGGATATAAAGATTGCTGTCTTGTTGCAAGAACCCTTTGCTTTCGATGATTGAAGACACATGTACCATTTCAGTAGCAACTTGGCCAATCTGAAAACATTTTCATTGCACTCTGTAGAAATGCAGTGTTTTCTGCTACACAGTTGTAGCAAAAGCCAGCTATAAAAAGTGCTGATTGGTTAGCATAGGTGACGTTATGCTTGCTTATTTTCAATAGAACAGACAAAAATATGAATAGTAAACTGATAAATAATTAGTCTTACTCCATAAGCTATTTTAATTCTTTTTTTTTTTTTTTGAAGGCACATGGCCCATTTAAAGTAGTCTAAATATAGTAACAGATCCAGTTTTTGGCTTGCTGGTAGTGCAAGCCTACTGTAGTGAGCACACTACAAGTTATACCCGGTATAACTGGTATATTTATCTTCACTCCTGGAAGTGACTTGTTGAAAATTAGAACAGCTACTTTTTAGGGGGCATATGGAGAAACGTTAAAGATAATAAATGCAGACCACAACTCTTTGTAGGGAAATAGGGTGATTGCCCATCAAGATCTTCCTTGTTTCTTTCTAAAATAAAATTGCATTTGTTCAAGTATGTTCTTAAGTGGTTCTGCCCAGTGACATATTCTTCCATTGCCTTCCAACTGAGTCTTGGAAGTCACTTTTTTTTTGTTCATCTGGTGTGCCATATTGACCTCAAATTCTTTTTCAATCAGCTATCAGCCAGAGTGAGCAAGCCAAAATTTCACAGGCCAAGGATATGTTGAAATCTCAATTATCTTGAATAGTGCACTTAAGGATAATTTATGCTACAGATAGGTATCCACAAATATATTGTGTTTTGAATCTGTCTTGACTCACTGCTTTATACTGAGACCTTTTTCTTTCTTTCTTTCTTTTTGCTCTCACCAGCGAGTTTGAGCAGAAATGTTTACTTCCCACATAACTGTAGCCGGCTTAAGACTGTTGCAACCAAAATGAGCTCTGCTCTCCGTTATTCTTTGTCCAGGTTTCCAGAACACAGCAGGCTGTGGTTTAATCTTTATCCCTACCAATTCTGAGTCAGTGCTTTCCCATACACTTTTGTTCCTTCATTTCTTCTGGAAACAAAAACTCTTTCTAGCAAAAAAAAAAGTAATGATAGCATCCATAGAAAACAAGTGTCTGGTTCTAATTGTCCCTAAATCAAGCAATGGCAGATCTTCAGTTGAACTTTTTCCTGCTTGATAGACTGTTACAAACTTGTGTAGTTTTCACATACACATACAGACACACACTTTTGTTGTGCAATTCATACTTTTCAATTTGTCAGTGTTTCAAGATGTACTTGAAGCTATTTTAAGAGAAGAGCAGCTTATGTCCCTGCATGGATCCTGGACTATTCGTCTCGCTTGTTTCCTTGAAATTTTGCCGAAGATTTGTCCGTAGTCTAGATGTTCCAATGGCTCATGAAAGCTTTCACAACAGGAGTAAATCCAAAGTCAGTCATTTCTAGACAGATTTTACGTTTCAACAGAACTTTGTTATGGGTAATCCACTTTCAAGGAGAACGTTTGCTCTATCGTGCTTTTTGTGAAGGTTTTCATAATGTGTTGCCAGCATATGACACTTAGATCACTTTAGTTGCAGGGGTATCCACTCAGTGTAGATTTAAAAAATGGTCAAGATGGGAGCCATTGAAGCTCCGTTCAGTTTGTATGTGGGTTACCCATGTGGCACACATTAAAAATGGGCAAAGCTTTACATGTTGTGGGTGCCCTCTTGACTTTTTTTTACCATGCCCTATAAACACCCTTATTTAGTTATGAGACTCCTCTATTGCAGTCTTCATAGAGAAAAGATAGTGTGTCTTATTACATGAAGAAAAAGAATACTTCCAATGTTAAAAAGTCCCAGTCTTTTATGTTGGAGCAGGGAAGTAGCAAGGGAAAAGAGCAATAGGATTAAAGTAATATTCCAGAAAAAATCAATTGCCATTAGTCTTAGAGAAGACAGTTACCAATATTAAACTCTAATAAAGAACCAGATCTACAATCAGTGCCTCAGATTATTATCAGCTGTGATGACAAACCTACTTGCGTGTGCCTCAGTAGAATTACTACTTTCTTAACAGACTTTCTCAGCACATTTTTTTCCTTTCATCAATGGTTTATTGTACATACAGGGTCCTTTAATCAGCTCCCTCTCTTAACAATCCATCTGCAGACCACATTGTCCAAGAAAATAGGATGAGCCCTGCTAGATCAGATCTTAGTCTGATAATATTATGTTAGTCCAACATAATATTTTCAACTCTGATCAGCTAATAGTCGCTGGACCCATAGGGCGTAAAAACCATCTTTGCTTCTAGCTTCTAGAATGTATATATTTTAGAGTCCTGATCTCTTCTGTGCCTCTTCAGTTTTCAATAGATCTGTATCTGAAACCTGCCTAAAAGAATAATAATAATTTTGACAACTGGGAAGGGCCAGAGTACAGATTTTAAATGAAGAAGGTCCTAAATTCAATCACCAGCAACTTAAGTTAATCGAATCTCAGGTAGTAGGACTGGAAAAGATCACAACTATCAGATCTAGGTTGCAAAAATCAGAAAGACCACTACATGACAGTACAAGGTTACATATTTTTCTGAATCATTATGCTATAGACTAGCACTTGGTAAAGCAGACATGAAGGCCTTGGAAAGGCTACTCCAACATTGTTATGTGTTTATACCTACAAAGAAGAGCATTGTACAAGCCATGGTGTTCTCTGTAACTTTCTATGGAAGTGAAAATTGGACTTTGAGGAAGCACGATAGGAAGAGCATTGACAGTTTTGAACATTGGTGTTAGAGAAGACCCCTGAGAGAATTACAGACAGTCCAAAAAACAAACTAATGGATCATCAAACAAATCAATCCAGAGTTCTCACTGGAAGCAGAAATGTTTCCTGCACTGGAGGCCAAAGGTGTCTTACTTCAGGCACATTAGTTGAAGACCTAGTTCTCTGGAAAAAGCTATCATACAGATAGTCCTCAACTTACACCAGTTCATTTAGTGACCGTTCGAAGTTACAACAGCACTGAAAAAAGTGACTTATGACCATTTTTGACACTTATGACTGTTGTAACATCCCACCGTGTTACTAATCTAACGATGGCAGTGATTCACTTAACAAATGTGGCAAGAAAAGTCGTAAAGTGGGACAAAGCCCACTTAACAAATTTCTCACTTAGCAACATAAATTCTGGACTCAATAGCAACCATACGTCGAGAATAACCTGTACTGGAAAAGATGGAGGGAAAGAGAAGAGGACAACCAGCAGCAAAGTAGATAGACTCAGTTATAGTGTCAGGGAGTAGATCATAGTAAATCCTAAGAGATCAGGTTGAGACGTAGATCACCATGGAGAAAGTCTGTATCATTATTAGAAATCCAAAATTATCTGAAGGTACACAATCAAATCTTTGGTATCTTCTAGTGGTCTTCTGTTTTTCTACATTCCAGATCTGTTAGTTGTAGAAAAGACTCCTGCTTAAGGCTTAGAAGAAATCCTGCTAGTTTGGCAAAGATAATTCTAAGTCAGACAGACCAATGATCTTATTCAATATATTCGGTGTCATTTATTTATGTAACAAAAGCAGAAACATAATTGCACACAGTGAAGCTTGAAGCTTCTGCAACATAAATATCCATTTTCATGTTTCATTTTTCAATATTTGAATATTGTAGCAGCGTCTCATCTTAACTTCCATTTAATCTTTTCACAACTAGTTCTTTTTTTTTCTCCCCATCACAGTATTTTCATTATGGCACTAATATTGCTCTTTTCTAAGTCCTTTCCAATTTCTCAAATATCCCTGGCCAGCTATAGCTACTCATTGATTTGATTGTGCAGTGATTTTCATGCTTGCATGACTGCCCTTAACATCTTGAATCTCTTATTGGAGTACATGTTGCCCTGCAAAGTTTGAATTCATGTAAACCAATGGTTCTCAACCTTTTCTTTACCATGGAGCCCCTTCAAATACCTTTTGTGGCCACAGACTATAGACACGAACCCCCAAGACTTAAGATTTAAAGCACTAGACTGTGTCAAGCCTTCGCAGATCCCTTGAGATGGCATTGTGTTCCCCCATTTCATCCCAGGGCTTCATGGACCACAGGTTGAGAACCACTAATATAAACAATTGGCTGGTTTCATAAGTACCTACACATGAACCAGAGAACACATCCAGTAATGCAGAGACAAATACTACTTTACTGCTAATACTTTCTGAAGAAATCCAAGCTGCCCAGTGTACATTTTGAAGGTCTACACCTGATCATATTCACTAGAAATTCTAAGGGGTTATATTCCCAATGGGTGCCAGCATGAAGGAGTTTGTATTAAGCATTTTATTCTGCTTTATGTTGATGATGATAGTGCATCCCAAAAGGATAATGTTCATCATCAAAAGATGCAGCAACTATTATTTACTGTTATATAGGCCTCAAATGTACCCAAAAATTTTCCTCAGGTGTTACTTTAATCCAAAGCTAGGACTAAACATTGGGTTACAGTACAATAGCCCACATTTTGCATATACTTTGGGTGGATAAGCTTCTAAAATGTCTCTTCAAGTCCTACCAAATTTCCTTCTGCTCCATTGTTACTATTGTTGACAACTGCTTTCTTTTAGGATAGAATTAAGTACATCCAAGTGGTTTCCACAGAAAAGATGTAAGCTTATATTTAAGTCTCTGTTTTTAAGTTTTTAACTTCAGCAAGAGTGCATTATTTCATTTAAATGAACAGTTCTTGATTCTAGTCTCTTAAAATGACCAACAGGAAGTTTTTAATTTCTCATGGGCCTCAGGCAATATGGAATGCATTCTGACATGCAGTCTGGGCAAATATGTCTTTATTACCATGAAATTAAAATAAAAGTCTGAACAGTTACCATGTGTGTGTGTTTGTTAATGGTGTGGGTCATTTCTTTCTAAAGGTTTTTCACAGGGTGAGCAAGGATTCCCCAATAATAACAGAATAACAGAATTGGAAGGGACCTTGGAGATCTTCTAGTCCCACCCCATGTTCAAGTAGGAGACCTACACCATTCCAGACAAATGGATGTCCAATCTCTTCGTAATAGTTTTAACAGTCTTTGAATCCTTCTTATTTGTGTAATAAAGCAGCAGGACAAAATCTCCAGGATGAAAATTCTGAAAATGCAGCTGCTGTATTAATGTATAACTGATAATGATTTGGATTCAGCTCAAACTTGGATTGAATCCAAATCATTTGGATTCAATTCCAAACTTGGTGCTAGCAGGACAAAGATACTTGATGCATTTTACACCTATATTGTACACTCAGCTCCAAGGCCTTCTTATCTCTGATGCTTTAATCCTCTATCTCGTATGATCCCTAATTGTAATGGGCAAGGAGAAAGCCAGGCTACTTCTGGCCCTTTATTCAGCACTCTCAAAGCTGAAATTTAAAGCTGCACATGAAATTCAACCCAAGCATGAATCATGCATCATTTCAATTTCAGTAGATGGAACCACAGCTGGAATATCAATTTTTTAGTTACAAAAACAGATTTTGGGGGAACATTTGGTTGCAAATACCAAATTAGATTTGAAAATGTTTGTCCAATCTTGCCATGAATAACAGAATAGGAAGGGACCTTGGAGGTCTTCTAGTCTAACCCCCTGTTCAGAGAGACCTTCTACCATTTCGGACAAATGGCTGTCCAGTCTCTTCTGAAAAACCTGCAGTGATGGAGCACCCACAAATAATGCATTGCTCCATTCCCACTTCAAGGACATACTGAAGGGGATGACAGCAGAAGCATCTCCCTGGGAAGGTGCTAAGCAATGTCAAAATAATAGGTATGACTGGTTATTAGCCTCTTCCTTTTTACAAGAAGTTCTCGACTTGTTACTGGTTGCTTAGCGATTGTTCGAAGTTATGTTGGGATCCCCCAAAAGCTACTTAAGAGCCAAGTTTAAGATTCTGACAGCTGCCCCTCCATGGTCAGATGACTACATCCTGGGCACTCAGCAACCAGCCCACAGTTATGGCTGTTTCCAGTATCCTGCAGTCAGATAACCAAGAATTATGATGTTTTGCCCAAAATTGATATTTACTCCCAGTTTTCAGGAAAAAAATGCCCATAGCCAACAATGAGTTTGTTTAATGACCACAGCATTTGTTTAACATCTGCCACAAACCAAGATTGTAAAATTGGTTGTGCGATGTCATTCTTACTGACCGCCACAACTTACTATCTTAATTGCAAGCGCAATTATGGTTGTAAATCAAGAATTTGTGTGCATAATGCATGTGGTACACCTTGAAAATATATACCATGGCTTGACAGTTTAGGTTGCTTCATTACAAACAGGTGATAGAAGTTACATTTTCCTGGTGTGTTGGCAAAGTTTTCATTTCAGAGTTTCTCTCTGCCTCTCCCTCTCTCTCTCTCTCTGTCTCTCTCTCTCTCTCCCTCCCTCAAAAACTATGTCATGACATCTCTGTGTATCTGCATTAATCTGCCTGCACAGAAACTGCTAAAGAGTGCTGGGCTGCATTAACATAGGGATAGAGTCAAGATCACGTGAAGTATTGATACCATTTTACTATGCCTTGGTAAGGCCACACTTGGAATACTGCATCCAGTTTTGGTCACCACGATGTAAAAAAGATGTTGAGATTCTAGAAAGAGTACAGAGAAGAGCAACAAAGATGATTAGGGGACTGGAAACTAAAACATATAAGAAACGGTTGCTGGAATTGGGTATGTCTAGTTTAATGAAGAGAAGAATGATGGGGACATGATAGCAGTGTTCCAATATCTCAGGGGCTGCCACAAAGAAGAGGGAGTCAAGCTATTCTCCAAAGAGCCTGAAGGTAGGACAAGAAGCAACAGATGGAAACTAATCAAGGAGAGAAGCAACCTAGAACTAAGGAGAAACTTCCTGACAGTTAGAACAATTAACCAATGGAACAACCTGCCTCCAGAAGCAGTGAATGCTCCAACACTGGAAATTTTTAAGAAGAGACTGGACAGCCATTTGTCCAAAGTGGTGTAGGGTTTCCTGCCTGAGCAGGGGGTTGGACTTGATGACCTCCAAGGTCCCTTCCAACTTTATTATTATGGATCATCGCACAGTCAGCCAGATGTTCAGACTGGATTTGGCATTTTGTCTACCTATCGAGTCCTTACCCAGTACCTGGGATAGGCAGATGTGGATGTTTGATGGTATTACAGATATCGTCGCAGGATGGAAGCAGTTCCTAATAAGGCTGCCTTTTGCAATTGACTACTAGCGAATTTGTCAATGCCAATGGTGTTCAAGTGGTGCTCCAGTTGTTTTGGGATTGCACCCAAGGAGCCTATGACTATTGGTACTACCCTTGCTTGCTTTTGCCACAGTCTTTCTATTTCTATTTGTAGGTCTTTGTATTTTGTTATCTTTTCCAGTTCTTTCTCGTCTATTCTGCTGTCTCCAGGCACTGCCACGTCCATTATCCAGACTTTTTTGTCTTTCATATCGACAATTGTTAAGTCTGGGGTGTTATGTTGCAGGTGCTTGTCTGTTTGAATTCTGAAGTCCCAGAGCAGTTTAATTTTATCATTTTCTATGACTTTCTCATTTTATGATCCCACCAGTTTTTGCTTACAGGCAAATGATATTTTTTGCAGATCTTCCAATGCACCATTTTTGCTACTTTGTCATGCCGCTGCTTGTAGTCAGTCTGTGCAATCTTCTTGCAACAGCTTACCAGGTGGTCCACTGTTTCTTCAGCTTCTTTGCACAGGCGGCACTTACTGTCTGTTGCTTATTATTATTATTATTATTATTATTATTATTATTATTGGCAATCCCGTAATTGGTTATGTGAAGAAGGTTCTAAATGAAGGCACTACTGAAATGTCTGTAAATGAAGCTAATGAGTCACATCTTCCTGGTGGTCAGGAACCTTCTCTTAGGAAGTTATCTGAAAACAGATAGTCCTTGACTTACAACTGCAACTCAGCCCAAAATTTTCTTTGCTAAGCAAGAACGACTGGCCGATTTTACGGCCTTCCTTGCCATGGTTGTTAAGTGAATCCTTGCAGTTGTTAAGTTAGTAACATGCTTGTTAAGTGAATCTGGCTTCCATATTCACTTTGTTTGGCAGAAGGTCACGAAAGGTGATCACGTGACCCGGGGACACCGCAACCGTCATAAATATGAGCCAGTTGACAAGCGTCCAAATTTTGATGATGTGACCAAGGGCATGCTGCAACAATCATAAGCAGGGAAAAACAGTCATAAGTCCCTTTTTTCAGTGCTGTTGTAAGTTCTAACAGTCACTAAATGAATGGTTGTAAGTTGAGGACTACCTGTACTTTACAAGAAATGGATGCTAAAATGATGGAAATGTGAAAATGAATCCTTGCCCTTGAGAAGAACACAGGTCTCCTTGTTGCTAATCTAGCACCTTAGTGGCTACACTGCATTGGCTTTCCCTGTGTAACTCCATTATGAACCTATACTGTGATACACAACAAAATGAGAACAGAACTTAAAACCCAAATCCGAAATTTAGACATGTCAGGAGCATCAACTATAGGTAGAATACAACTTCCAAGGACCTGCCTTGAGGCTACTGACATCCCAGTTCTGAAGTTCTGATGGTGGAGTGCCTTCCATGGTCATATGACCTCACTTTGGTTGCTTGGTAACATGGCCACATTTATGGCCATTTGCAGAGTCTGATGGTCACATGACAGAGCTTTGTGATGGTTTTGCCCAAAGCTGCCATTTGCTTTCAGTTTTCAACAAAACTGTGGCTTCATGGGTTCTCTTTATGACCACAGTGTTTGCTTGATAACTGCTGCAAAAAAAAAAAAAAAAGATCATAAAATGGACGGGCTCCATTACAGTCATATGTCGAGGCCTATAGTACCTGGATTATTTACTCTAATTTACAGAGTTGCTGCTCTTAGCATTTGTCCTACACAGTTGTAGAGCTTGCTTCTTTTGTATGTGCTCATTTAGTTGAAACTAGATCATGCAACAAGAGGTTTTATTTCTCAGCTGGCTGGTGGCAGCTAGGCTGGAGAGGACATGACTCTCCTAAAGGTTGATTAGCTGTCTTCTGTCCTAAGCACTTTTATCACTACACTATATTGCGCTCTCCCCCCCCCTCTCTCTCATAAAAACTGCTCTTCCAATATAAAACAAGCATTTAAAATTAAACTGAAAATAAAAACTATAAAACTGGATGAAGGAACTGGAATACATTTGTCTGGCACCAAAAATATGTTAAAGTGGGTGTTAGGAGCACCTGCCTGGGGAGACATTTTAGTCATCAACAAGAATTTCCCCTTCTTGTTGATAGCTTCCTCCCCCCTTATAACACCAAACTCCCTTCTGTTTTTAGAGCTTGTCTTTTCCATCCCCTCCTCCATTCAACTTCTTGAAGTCTAAAGCTTTTGCCTCCATCCTTTACCTGCTTCCATCTCTATCCATCAGGGGTTTTTTTGAATCCTTCTCAAATTAAGCTTTGATCAAGTCCCTCGGTTGTTATACTTGCAGGAAGCTTTTGTAGAAACTCATGTAGCCTGCTTTCAAGTGAACCAGATTGGCAAAAATCAGGCTCCCAAAGCAACTTTCACATGAAACAGGAAGCTTGCAGAGCTGGGTCAACAGTACAATGTTCAAATGTCATCAGTGATGTTCTAGGGCAAAAGTCTGGATTTAGGAGAGTCAGGACATTTTTATTATTATTATTTAGTGACGTGGATGAACCAAGGAAGGAACATAGAAGTTGTACAATGGGAGGCAGCTGGCATTAAGCTAATAGGCTGAAGTCAAGGTCCACAGAGAGGAACAACCATGACTTGGCAAAGATTTAACACAAGTCATCAAGCTTTTGCCCAATCCTTTCTGTGTTAGAGAACACCTTTATCAAATAACAACACTTTAGCCTTCAGCACCTCCCTGCATTCTCTCCTGGACCATTTCCTGCAGAAGACAAGTGACCCCCAGATCTTCATTCTCTCATCCAATCTTTTTGAAGGATACTTTCTCTGTCTATGGAGATTCTCAGTCATCCAGTTCATGGTTGTCCCAAAGATGATTCTTCAAAAGGCAACTGGACTTTCTTGTTTTTCCTTGAACTGAAGTTCCTCTGAACTGAAGAAGTTTCTTAAATGAGAAGTGAAACGTCTTCAAGGAAAAACAAAGAAAGTCAAGTTGCCTTTTGAAAAAGCACCTTTGGGTTTCCCTTTCTCTTCCTCCCAATATGATGAATGCTGCCTTACTGAGTTATTTGCTCATGTAACTCAGTGTTGTCTAAGCTGATTTGCAGCAGCTTTCCAACAAAACTTTTCTTTCAATTCTAATAAAGTGTAACTGGAGATGACAAGCATTGTTTGCTCATATTATGGGCAATGAATGATTATGAATACGGTGTGATTCTCCAGTAGCTCAATCACAGGCTGGGATGGGCAATGGAAGGAGGGGATAAGCTGGGACTTGCAGGAGTAGGTTAGGGGGAAGGCAGTTTTCCACACGCTCCTCCACCCAATTATTTTGGCAAAAGTCCCTGCGGTTTTAATTATTTTATATACCATTTCAAATTCATGAAAGTGAAAAGCAAGGCATAGATAAGCCACAATTCTCTAAACCAAGAAAGCGTCCCTTAATTTCTCTTACTTTTTGTTTCTGTTTTCTTTGTCTTTTTGTTGTTGTTGTTGTTAATTGTGAAGTCGTGTCCAACCCATCGCGACCCCATGGACAATGTTCCTCCAGGTCTTCCTGTCCTCTACCATCTTCTGGAGTCCATTTAAGCTCAGACCTACTGCTTCAGTGACTCCATCCAGCCACCTCATTCTCTGTTGTCCCCTTCTTCTATTGCCCCCAATCTTTCCCAGCATTAGGCCCTTCTCCAGTGAGTCCTTCCTTCTCATTAGGTGGCCAAAGTATTTGAGTTTCAACTTCAGGTTCTGGCCTTCTAAAGAGCAGTCGGGGTTGATCTCTTCTAGGACTGACCGGTTTGAACGCCTGCAGTCCAAGGGACTCGCAGGAGTCTTCTCCAGCACCATAGTTCAAAAGCCTCAATTCTTTGACGCTCAGCCTTTCTTATGGTCCAACTTTCACAGCCATACATTGCAACTGGGAAAACCATGGCCTAGACTATACACACTTTTGTTGGCAGGGTGATGTCTCTGCTTTTTAGTATGCTGTCTAGATTTGCCATAGCTTTCCTCCCCAGGAGCAAGCGTCTTTTAATTTCTTTGTCTTTTAGAGTTATGGATATTTGCTTTGTAGGAAACTGTCCAGTACTTGATTGTGTTAAAGGAGATTTTTAAAAAAAATACACAGAAATGACATTCAGAAAACTCTCTCTTTTTGCCTCTGGTGTTGCTCATTCTTTGCTTTCCAAGGACACTAGTTGCTCATGTTCTTTGTTCAGCCTTCTCTCTCCATTCCACAGAGTAAATTTGTTGCTTGACAAGTAGACTTAAAGCACCTTTGGAGTAAATCTTTGAAATGATAACAAGATTTGTATTGTATAAAGTGTGTGGGCTAGATCTTTTAATGGAAAAAAGATATTTCTCATTTGAGAAAGCGCTTGTGTATTTGCATCCTCTCTCAATCTATCCCCTATTCTTCTTGTTCTTCCACTCTTTCTCCTTCTCCTTCTCCTTCTGGAAGCTTCCAAATACATAGAATCTATCCCCTTCTGGAAGCTTCCAAATAAAAAAATCTATCCCCTATTCTTCCTTCTCCTTTCCTTTCTCCTTCTCCTTCTCCTTCTCCTTCTCCTTCTGGAAGCTTACAAATAAGTAAAGAAAACATATCCTTCCAGCTGACCCCTTTGCCTTTTCCTGCCAAAATAATAGTATCTTTACATTTCTATTTCTGAAAATACTTTTATTGTGGCATTCGTAGTTGGATAAATCATCCTGTTCTTGGTTCAATAATTTAAATACACAGGGGAGATCCAAAAATGGTCAATAAAACTTAGATTTCTGACTTCTGTCTGGAATGTGAGTGAAATTATGGGAAATATGACAGTTGGAGCTAAATCCAGGCTCTGCTTTTTTGCCCCTCTATATCCTCAAGAGCTGGTAAGATTAAAATACGATTTTTGGAATCTTTGAGTTGAATTTTTCAGTGATTGCTATCCTGACATCATGGAAGTGCTGAATGTCATGTGTCTAACTAATGAAACACTTCAAAGAACTTTCAGGCATGGTTTAATGTAAAAAAAAGCCTTTATTAGTGTAGAGGCGTGTCAGCACGGCATGATGGATGCCAAGATCTGAATTTCCCTTCCCTTTGCACATAACATTCTAAGCATTTCTCCTCCCCTATTTTGGGGTCATGATTCACATCTTCCAATTAACCTGGAGGGCAAAGATTCACTTCCGTTCCTTTTCCCGGGCTTTCCTTACTAATCTCCTCCCTTTCTCTGTCATCTGAACTCTAAAAATACCAGACAGTTCTGCATATTTTGTCAAAGCAAGAATATTCAATATTAGCAGCGTTGACACTGAACATGAAAGACTATTATTTTTAATTAAACCTTAGAGAGGAAATCCTTGTTGGGCAGCATCCATCTCTGCTGAGGAAAGATCACCTGAGGTAGGAGTGGTGAAAAAGATCTAATGGATCGTCATGGGAATTGTTCAGCAACATCCAGAACAAGATCTGCAAATCAGAATATCCAAAACATAACCTAGACCTGGCTTCCACCTCCTTGTAGGGTTATGAGTATGCTTAAAATAAACATTTGGGGTCATTCATGTGTGTCTACCAAAGGAGATCCATACCTGTTTGACCAATATCCCACTCTTTTGTATACGTATTGCAACTGTGATGTACGTTTAAAGGATGGAACTTAGGTTGTGCAGTTGTAGTCATCATTTTTATTTTTTGGACTCGCCTCTTAGAACCCCTTTGGAATATAAATTTTGCAGCATCTCAGATGCCCAAAATGATTAGCCCAAACCTCCAATGACTTTCATCCAGAATTGGCTAACCTATTTACATGGAAAAACAAACATCGTTTTAAAAAGCAAAACAAAATAATGTTATTGCCATGAAGAAGCAAACTTAGATTACATGATCTGAGTTAAAATAATTGACTTACCATTGAAAAACCTCCTGAAAAATAGTTGAGTAATAATAATGGAAAAACGGAGCACTCTCAAACAACAGTCTATATTGTCATTTGGAGCCAATAACTTAGATAATTTCAGAAAGGACTTCTAGTGACATTTACATCTCCTCATTTTTTTCACATGTCTGTGAATTTTTGTACCTCATTTTTTTGAAATTGCATTTCACCGTTGCCATCTCCACGACATGTCTCAGTACGCAGTTAATGTTTTTCAAGTTACTGGGCTCCAGCAGCCAGGCCATTGCTGAAATTTCTGTGACAATGAGGTTAAACAGATGCTATGCCTGAGAAAAAATGCAAGTGGCATCCATAATTGATTTATTCAGGCATACATCCATTTCTTGATGACCCAGAGATTTTCTCCTACCTGAAAGACTGCCTACAGGCTCTAATTTGAAAGAAGGTAGGAAAAGTAAGAGAACCAGTCTGATGTGGCGGTTAAAGACACTGAGCTAGAAACCAGAAGACCTTGAGTTTTATTCCTGCCTTAGGCATGAAGCCAGCTGGGTGACTCTGGGCCAGTCACACCCACTCAGAAAGAAGGCAAGGGTAAACTACATCTGAAAATGTTGCTCAGAAAACTGTAGGGACGTGTCTACATAGTCATCAGAAGTCAAGGCTTGAAGGCACAAAACCAGGAAAGGGGAAATGCTAGCAATAAAGGAAGGGCTTAGGAATAGAGGAACTGAAACACCCCTTTGTCGCTAAAGGAAGACTTGGGATTGAAATAAGCTCTTGAAAGGGAAATAAGGTCTTAAGAGAAAATTCCTAATCCTTGCTCACTCTTTTGAGAGTTGCCAAAAGAAAGTCATACGGTTAGAATAGGAGTGAGCATTTTTTGACAGGTGGGATTATAGTTGTTTGGATACAGTATTATTGTTGGGTAGTCAAAGCAGGGGTTATATAGGGTTTTTTTTTTTTAGAAATGCAATGGTTGTTACAGGGGGTTTGTCATGATGATGATGATTTTATCTGAATTTGACAAGGCAGCCATTATAAATATAAGGTGCTGAATGACAGAAATGTATGTTGGACAGAAAATTCTGGTGCTCTCTGGCCTTGCTTGTTTTCTTGTTTTATTACCAAACCAAATAGGAATGGGGTTTGCTGATGGTGATGTTACCTACCTTGAGTAATAAAGTGTCTGCGAGAAAAGAACTAAGCTCAGAGAGCACTAAGGACTCCTCATTTCAACTCTGAGCTACAAATAGAATATTGGATCTGCACTCTGGTGTTGTCGTGGTGTTGTCTTCACTGAAGTACAATTTTCATTGGTTTCATTGGCTTCTTTATGTTATGGGAGGAAATAATGATGATGATGATGATGATGGAAAGGACCTTGGCGGTCATCTAATCCAACCCCCTGCTCAGAGAGGAAACCCTATACCATTTCAGACAAATGGCTGTCCAGTCTCTTCTTAAAAACTTCCAGGGTTGGAGCATTCTGGAGGCAGGTTGTTCCACTGGTTAATTGTTCTAACTGTCAGAAAATTTCTCCTTAGTTCTAGGTTGCTTCTCTCTTTGATTAGTTTCCATCTGTTGCTTCTTCAGGTGCTTTGGAGAATAGCTTGACTCCCTCTTCTTTGTGGCAGCCCTTTGCTATCATGTCCCCCCTCGTCCTTCTCTTTATTAAACTAGACATACCCAATTCCAGCAACCGTTCTTTATATGTTTTAGCCTCCAGTCTCCTAATCATCTTTATTGCTCTTCTCTGTACTCTTTTTAGAGTCTCAACATCCTTTTTACATCGTGATGACCAAAAATGGATGCAGTATTCCAAGTATGGCCTTACCAAGTCATTGTAAAGTGATGTTAACACTTCACGTGATAATACTAATAATCAGTGCTTTTTTTGTAAAAAAAAAAAAAAAAGGTGCCGGAACTCACACACATCATACAACCCGCCTTGCCTACCCTACAAGGTTCCAT